GACCTCTGCAGGCTGCATACAAGTGATCTCGGCGACATTTCCGGGATCGCTTGTACAAAACAAGCGGCGGCTTCCCCGCTGTACATTTAGCTCTAATTGCCCAAAGCCGGGCTAAATGTAGAAAAAACTATTACCCGCCCGGCCCCCGGAACTGGATGTCCCGGGCGTCGGGAGGAAGGAATTCCACGCCCCTGCTGCCCCTCTACTCCCTGCTGCCCCAAGACCTGCCTTGGTTGGCCTTGTGGGAAATCCTGACCACAAGTGCCTTAAGGCATTGCAAGACTTTGACAGCCGCAGGAATGACTCCCAGAGGCAGAGGACGATGGGATTTGTAGTTTCACCACAGCTGGACTGCTGTTTTAAGCTGGTACCTAGATCAATCACAACTGTATGGCCAACTGTAGACTGATGCCATTGGAACCGATGGCCCCACTGTAAGAATTTCGCTCACCTCTTGATCTGGTAACATCCACCACTTTCTATTCCGGTGACAGTGGTCACCAGGAAAAATGGCAATCAAATATGCCCGGTGGGGATAGCGACAGCAAATAAAAACCTGACAGAGGTGCCAACCCTCCACACTCTACCCAAATCTAAAGATCCACCCCTTAAAGACCCAGGTTTCTAAATTGGCTCTTGCAAAAAAATGTAGGATCCACTTACCCCTCCCCCCCTTCATCAATCACCTACAATAGGTTTTGACTTATCCCACCCCCGTCATCCACCTTCGGTGCCTTGGTGAGGATGACATCACACTCCATCCCGGTGAATACCAAGCCGCTGAAACTTAATGAGAAGAAACTTTCGCAATGGACTGGGTTGCCTTCTCATGAGGTTTCACCTGCTCTACGTTCCCCCGGGGACCTTAAAGGATGGATGGTGATGGCACAGCCAGCAATGGGGAGGACGGCGGTGGGATCATGTCACTAGTAACAGGGACACGAGGTCCTAAATCTCTCCTTTATCCTCCTACTTTTAATAAAGGGAAGCCCTGATGGTCACCAGAACTATGTCCCCATTGGAAGATTTCCCTCCACTTCCTGTCCAATAGCCACAACAGGAAGCAAGAGCAAACCCTTCCAAATTGAGGGAAGCCATGATGGTCACCAGAACTATGTCCCCATTGGAAGATTTCCCTTCACTTCCTGTCCAATAGCCACAACGGGAAGCAAGAGGAAACCCTTACAAATTGATGGAAGCCATGATGGTCACCAGAACTATGTCCCCATTGGAAGATCTCCCTCCACTTCCTGTCCAATAGCCATAACGAGAAGCAAGAGGAAACCCTTCCAAATTGAGGGAAGCCATGATGGTCACCAGAACTAGTGTGCCCATTGGAAGATTTCCCTTCACTTCCTGTCCAATAGCCAGAACAGGAAGCAAGAGGAAACCCTTCCAAATGGATGGAAGTCATGATGGTCACCAGAACTATGTCCCCATTGGAAGATTTCCCTCCACTTCCTGTCCAATAGCTAGAACGGGAAGCAAGAGGAAAACCTTCCAAATAAGGGGAAGCCATGATGGTCACCAGAACTAGTGTGCCCATTGGAAGATTTCCCTGCACTTCCTGTCCAATAGCCAGAACGGGAAGCAAAAGGAAACCCTTCCAAATTGAGGGAAGCCATGATGGTCACCAGAACTAGTGTGCCCATTGGAAGATTTCCCTGCACTTCCTGTCCAATAGCCAGAACGGGAAGCAAAAGGAAACCCTTCCAAATTGAGGGAAGCCATGATGGTCACCAGAACTAGTGTGCCCATTGGAAGATTTCCCTGCACTTCCTGTCCAATAGCCAGAACGGGAAGCAAAAGGAAACCCTTCCAAATTGAGGGAAGCCATGATGGTCACCAGAACTAGTGTGCCCATTGGAAGATTTCCCTGCACTTCCTGTCCAATAGCCAGAACGGGAAGCAAAAGGAAACCCTTCCAAATTGAGGGAAGCCATGATGGTCACCAGAACTAGTGTGCCCATTGGAAGATTTCCCTGCACTTCCTGTCCAATAGCCAGAACGGGAAGCAAAAGGAAACCCTTCCAAATTGAGGGAAGCCATGATGGTCACCAGAACTAGTGTGCCCATTGGAAGATTTCCCTGCACTTCCTGTCCAATAGCCAGAACGGGAAGCAAAAGGAAACCCTTCCAAATTGAGGGAAGCCATGATGGTCACCAGAACTAGTGTGCCCATTGGAAGATTTCCCTGCACTTCCTGTCCAATAGCCAGAACGGGAAGCAAAAGGAAACCCTTCCAAATTGAGGGAAGCCATGATGGTCACCAGAACTAGTGTGCCCATTGGAAGATTTCCCTGCACTTCCTGTCCAATAGCCAGAACGGGAAGCAAAAGGAAACCCTTCCAAATTGAGGGAAGCCATGATGGTCACCAGAACTATGTCCCCATTGGAAGATTGCCCTCCACTTCCTGTCCAATAGCTAGAACGGGAAGCAAGAGGAAAACCTTCCAAATAAGGGGAAGCCATGATGGTCACCAGAACTATGTCCCCATTGGAAGATTTCCCTCCACTTCCTGTCCAATAGCCATAACAGGAAGCAAGAGGAAAACCTTCCAAATAAGGGGAAGCCATGATGGTCACCAGAACTATGTCCCCATTGGAAGATTTCCCTCCACTTCCTGTCCAATAGCCAGAACGGGAAGCAAAAGGAAACCCTTCCAAATTGAGGGAAGCCATGATGGTCACCAGAACCATGTCCCCATTGGAAGATTTCCCTCCACTTCCTGTCCAATAGCCATAACGGGAAGCAAGAGGAAACCCTTCCAAATTGAGGGAAGCCATGATGGTCACCAGAACTATGTCCCCATTGGAAGATTTCCCTCCACTTCCTGTCCAATAGCCACAACGGGAAGCAAGAGCAAACCCTTCCAAATTGAGGGAAGCCATGATGGTCACCAGAACTATGTCCCCATTGGAAGACTTCCCTTCACTTCCTGTCCAATAGCCACAACGGGAAGCAAGAGGAAACCCTTCCAAATTGAGGGAAGCCATGATGGTCACCAGAACTATGTCCCCATTGGAAGATTTCCCTTCACTTCCTGTCCAATAGCCACAACAGGAAGCAAGAGGAAACCATCCCAAATTGAGGGAAGCCATGATGGTCACCAGAACTATGTCCCCATTGGAAGATTTCCCTCCACTTCCTGTCCAATAGCCACAACGGGAAGCAAGAGCAAACCCTTCCAAATTGAGGGAAGCCATGATGGTCACCAGAACTATGTCCCCATTGGAAGATTTCCCTCCACTTCCTGTCCAATAGCCACAACGGGAAGCAAGAGCAAACCCTTCCAAATTGAGGGAAGCTATGATGGTCACCAGAACTATGTCCCCATTGGAAGATTGCCCTCCACTTCCTGTCCAATAGCTAGAATGGGACGCAAGAAGAAACCCTTCCAAATAGAGGAAAGCCATGATGGTCACCAGAACTATGTCCCCTTTGGAAGATTGCCCTCCACTTCCTGTCCAATAGCCATAACAGGAAGCAAGAGGAAAACCTTCCAAATAAGGGGAAGCCATGATGGTCACCAGAACTATGTCCCCATTGGAAGATTTCCCTCCACTTCCTGTACAATAGCCAGAACGGGAAGCAAAAGGAAACCCTTCCAAATTGAGGGAAGCCATGATGGTCACCAGAACCATGTCCCCATTGGAAGATTTCCCTCCACTTCCTGTCCAATAGCCAGAATGGGAAGCAAGAGGAAACCATTCCAAATTGAGGGAAGCCATGATGGTCACCAGAACTATGTCCCCATTGGAGGACTTCCCTTCACTTCCTGTCCAATAGCCACAACAGGAAGCAAGAGGAAACCATCCCAAATTGAGGGAAGCCATGATGGTCACCAGAACTATGTCCCCATTGGAAGATTTCCCTTCACTTCCTGTCCAATAGCCAGAACAGGAAGCAAGAAGAAACCCTTCCAAATAGAGGAAAGCTATGATGGTCACCAGAACTATGTCCCCATTGGAAGATTGCCCTCCACTTCCTGTCCAATAGCTAGAATGGGACGCAAGAAGAAACCCTTCCAAATAGAGGAAAGCCATGATGGTCACCAGAACTATGTCCCCTTTGGAAGATTGCCCTCCACTTCCTGTCCAATAGCCATAACAGGAAGCAAGAGGAAAACCTTCCAAATAAGGGGAAGCCATGATGGTCACCAGAACTATGTCCCCATTGGAAGATTTCCCTCCACTTCCTGTACAATAGCCAGAACGGGAAGCAAAAGGAAACCCTTCCAAATTGAGGGAAGCCATGATGGTCACCAGAACCATGTCCCCATTGGAAGATTTCCCTCCACTTCCTGTCCAATAGCCAGAATGGGAAGCAAGAGGAAACCCTTCCAAATTGAGGGAAGCCATGATGGTCACCAGAACTGGGTCCCCATTGGAAGACTTCCCATCTATTCCTGTTCTGGTCTTTGGTCTCGTTGCCTGTTACGTAATAAAGCTTTTTCGAGTTAGAGGAGCAGAAGACAATGAAGTGTCTGCAGTCTCTGACCATCTCCTGTAGATACAAATATAACAGGTCATTGTTTACTGTAACATGGTCACATTTCATTGTCTTCTGCAACGGGGCAAACAGATTATGTGCCAATCAAGAGCAGTAACCAACCCATGGCAAGGAACTGGATTCCATTGTTAGCTGGAAGGGGAAACCAAACTGGTCGCTGATGGCTACTGCTCTAGGTTGGCTCTGGTTTCCTTTGCAAATTAGGTTTAGGAACCCAACACCTGATATGGCAATCATTCTACAAAGTAGCTGCCAGGAAGTGACCATGGGGCTGCCAGGAAGTGACCATAGGGGTGCCAGAAAGTGACCATGGGGCAATTGAAATGACTTGCACTTAGGAACAATTCAAGACATGGAGGCAATTGCTTGGTTGGCCTCTAGAGGCCTTCAAATGTTTTCATTGAACATCAGCCTTTATAGGCATCTACCACCAAGTTCCATACGCTAAAGCATTCAGAAAGTTGCCTCCTTCACTGCTGTAGGCAGGGCCAGATTAACATAGGGGCTACTAGAGCGCCGGCTCCAGGCCCACCGCTGAAAATAGGCCCTGGACCCCCCATCGGTATGCTCGATGGCAATCCAGGCCGGCCGGTCTGAACACAATCAGGCAGAAGGGCTGGTGGCTCTCTCATCAGGCAAAGCAGGCAGCCCCAGCAAGGAGCGAGCGGCCTCCTTATTAGAGAGCCACCGTCCAACCAACCGACAACACCAGGCCAATGATGCTCTTAATCCGGCCTTGGTTGAAGGCCAAAGTTTCTTAACATTTCTGGACGTTGTTTCTACCAGAGATCAAATGTTAGTATACACATGAAGGGTTTCTAAGCACACGCTCTAGGTTAGAGGTTGAAGAGTGGAAGAACCAGAGACACACACACAGAGAGAAGACACAGGAAAGGAACAGGGAAGTGAAAGAAAGTTTAGACCTAAAACCACGGCTTTAATTCTAAAAAGGATTTAATCTGGTTTATTTTTGTTTTTTTTCATGGAAACAATCGTAAAAATACTTCACAGAAGTAAAAAAACAAAAAAACAAAGGCGGCGCGCTCTTGAATGGTCAGACTGGTTGGTTTGGCACTGGCCAAGAAGCAGATTACCGGTGTTATCCTGAATTTGAATGAGAAAGTGAAGAGGGAAAGCACAGGTAGAGAAGAAGAGTATTCACGGCAAGCCTTTGAAGGAGAAGACCGTCGACAGAACAACGGCCGTGTAGACATGTAGATTGTTACCTGAAAAGTTCACTGAGGATCCAACAATGGCCTTTTCTGTTGATACAGCGGGCAAGGGACCAGTAGGATTCAGGGTCGGCGGAAAGATCTTCTCCAAAAATTGGCTTGTGGCATTCCTGGGACTGTTGGGCGGTGGAGTGAAACCTATGTGAGCAAAAGAGACTAGATCTCGGTGACCCTCTGTTGTTCCTATTAATGATGTCGGAAAAGGGTTGTTCTCTTGAGCGTATTGGTCTACACCAACATCTTCAATGGCTGAAGGACCGGAAGACGCATTAGGGCTTATCAAGTGGGATTTCTGGACTGTAGATGATTCGTTATCCTCGTAGGAACTTTGGACAGAGACTATAGTTGTATTTGCGACGTTGTTTAGAAGTTCCTGGTGTTCACTTTCATTCCTTTCCACCTTTTGAGTATCATTGACGTCGGAAATCGAACCACCACCTAAGGTGAGCCACGTGGAATCTGGAACTTCTCCGCTTCCTTCTTCCCAAGATAACTTAGGGCTACTAAAACTTTGAGGCCCAGGGGAAAAAGACAGAGGTGTTGTAAGGACGAGGCTTGATTCCAATATCTGAGAACTTTGAGTAGGATCTGGTGTCCCACTGGCATGGTCTCCTGAGACCAGTTCTTCCACCCAACTTGTTGGAGTCTGTGGTTCTTCTGTGAGCGTCAAGTTATATTCGTGTCCGGATGCCTCAAAATCATCTTGCGGTGGATGGATGGCGGATGTTGGTTGAGTGACTGGGGTGTCTAGGGAAGATTTAAGGGGCTCATTATCAACATTCACGCTTGATAACGGTTTACCGACTCCGCTATATTCTACATCACTGGCTAAGATAGAGGAAGCTGTGGTCGGGACGGCGTGACTAAAACTGGTGTCTGCTATTGTCCCGGTGAAGGTATCTCCTTGGTGGGTTCTTTCCTGAGTGTGCACATCCGCATCATGTTCCGTGTTTGAAAATTGGGTTGGGTTGGGGGATCCGGTATGTGGAATGTGGCTTGCTGATTCTGACACAGTAACCCCAAGTTCCTGTGCCGAGCCAGTAAAGTTGTCATAATCATTCTCTGCAAGAACATTCACAAACGACACATCTAAGATGGAGTCACCTGCAGTCGGCAGAGCTTCTCCTTCCAGTGTTCCTTGGGTGGACTCTAAGACAAAGCCAGGTGTATCTCCTGCCAAAATAAAAACATCGAAAAATGAGTAAGAACCATATGATACTCTTAAAGTGTATCTAAGATATTTTTCTCTTTTTAGATTTGGATTGGAGGATATATCTCTCCTGGTGAACATTGTCATACCCGCTGTGCCCATTATGAGGAGCTCCCGCCATCCCTGTGCTGAGTTCCCGGGTCTGTACACCCGCTGTGCCCATTATGAGGGGCCCCCACCATCTCTGTGCTGAGTTCCCGGGTCTGTACACCCGCTGTGCCCATTATGAGGAGCCCCCACCATCCCTGTGCTGAGTTCCCGGGTCTGTACCCCCGCTGTGCCCATTATGAGGGGCCCCCACCATCTCTGTGCTGAGTTCCCGGGTCTGTACACCCGCTGTGCCCATTATGAGGGGCTCCCACCATTCCTGTGCTGAGTTCCCGGGTCTGTACACCCGCTGTGCCCATTATGAGGAGCTCCCACCATCCCTGTGCTGAGTTCCCGGGTCTGTACACCCGCTGTGCCCATTATGAGGAGTATAAAGACATAGAAGTATGATATTCTGGATTTGGCCTTCTTCGGGTCCCCAGTCTGGTGCTATGGTGCCATGCTTCCCCCTGTGACTAAAAATACTTGCACCTTGGTCTATCTATCTTGTAGGGATGTATACAGATTGTGAGCCATCTTGGTTGTTATCTCCCATAATTCCTTGCTGCTATAACTATGAATCTCTGAACTACCACTTTTCCTCATAGGCTGTTGCGTAGACTTCCATGGGTGGTCACACTGCTCCTCTAGGCACTCAACCTGCAAAGTAGATGCAACATTTATCAGTTGGTGGGACCGTCACACGTATTGCTTGACCTACCTTGAGAATGTCCTAAAATCGCCGTGGTTTTGCTCTCCATTGTCGTAGACTCCTCGCTGTCCTCAGAATGGTCCTCATAGGGAGGGAAGCTTGCCACACCAGGAGAAAGGTCCTCATCCTCATTGACGTTTCCTTCTACCGCAACCGTCGGCTGAGCCGGTGACTCCTGAACGTCTCTGGCGGTAGAAACGGTCTCCACGTCTGCGGGCTTGGTCGCCTCGGTTGTCTTGTTCAGCGGGATGGTGTCTACAAAACCTTGGGCTTCGTTCTCAGCTTTGACCTCCGACAACCTCAGCTCCTCAAAGCTCTCGGTGACCGTGATGACGTCTCGGACTCGCTCGGCTGCAGGTGAAGGGCTCTCACCGTGGTCTTCTGTTGGCACGGGGCCTACGCCTAAAAAAGAGAAGATGGCCGGTTGTTGTAGAACTTATTGAACAGAAATTTGAACCCCAAAATCTGGTGTGTGACATTGTTTAAGGCCAAACTCCAGGAAGATATAAAAGATATTGTTTGCAGGTCTGTATTCATTCTACTATCTATCTATCTATTGTGGCATTGTGAGGCAATACCACGGTGTTAGGTGGCCTCAAAGTCACCCAGGGTTCTCAGCCAGAGGGGCTGAGTGGCTCCAGGAAGACATTACTGTTACTAGGAGAGAATTGCCTTTTCAGTTCTTTCTGGGTTTTCTGGATCATAGTTGGGATCCTGGAGCCAGGAGATTTCTTAGAGCTCTGGGTGGGAAGAAGTCTCCATTCCTGGGTCCATGCTTTGGTGGTGACCAGCACCTGATTGTGCACCTGTTTACATCCCTCATGAAGTGTATGCTGGGATGTGTTCAGGGCCCCACCTGTGAGTCAGGAGAGCTCCACCCCGGAGTCAGTGTGGAGGCCAGGGCAGCAGGGAGCTGCGGGTTTGTGAACCATATTGAGAGGATTGGCATGTTATTGCCGTTGTCTGGAGGAACCAGACAGTGGCCCTAAAGATTGAGGCCGGAGCAGCAGTGCTGCGAGAGAGACTTGTTAAAAGACTGGGACACCTTGAGTGTACGTGACAACTCGAGGATTGGTGAGCCCCTATCTGTTATGCTACAGCGAGCTATTTATGTTGGATTTCGTGTTATCTATCGTTTTGAAAGCAAATAAACTGCATTGTACTTGCACCTCCGGTCTTCAGTGGAGTGTCCTTGTTACACTATCTATCTATCTGTCTGTCTATCTATCTGTCTATCTATCTATCTATCGATATCTTCAGGTAGGTCGTAGAGATGGTCGGCTTTGTGAGCAGTGTCTATTCCCCAGCCTGTCATATTACTCCCCTGTGGGCCCTTAAAGTGTCCATTGTGGCCAGCGGGAAAGGTTCCGGTATTCTCTGGTCACCGTGTCACTCCTCTACAGCGCTCCGCACCGCAACAGATGTCAACGGAATGTCCAGCTGCGTGGTTTTGTTGCATTGGATCTTCTGGAGAGTGGTCACTTGTGGCTCTCCAACTCTTAAAGGGATTCTGTGTCCCGTTGGTCCCTTTTTTAAAGAGGTTCCGATGAACAATCAGCTTGGTCTACGGAAGGACCTTACCTCTGAAACAGTAGACGTCATATCTGGCCTGGGGGTCCGGGAAGCCCGTCTGGTCGCGGAACTGGAAGACCGTCTTCACCCCAGGTGAGTTCCCTCCACACTTATCTCTCGGCGTGACGATGGGGTAGCGGACACTTCCATCAGCAAGCCAGCCAGGATTGCAGTGGTCGAACCCTTCGTTCCACGCGGCGTACAGCTGACCGGTGTTCGCCATTTCGGCCCCCAGTGCCCTGCAGTAGTCTCTGGCCTCGCTTAGAGTGAACTTGTTTGGTGTGGAACCTAGAACAATCTCCCCTAAAGAGAAGAGAGACACTTGGTGAGGTCTTGACACGGGTTGATGTGTACGAATGAAGATCTAATGTTTGACTTAGCCAATATGTTGAATATTTAGGGGCCGCCCCATGGTGGTTACATAGTTACATAGTTACATAGTTACCATAGTTACATAGTTACATAGTTACATAGTATTTGAGGTTGAATAAAGACATTAGTCCATCAAGTCCAACCTATAGGATCTCATTCTAGGAGTACCTGTACCCCTGTATGTTACCTGTACCCCTGTATGTTACCTGTACCCCTGTATGTTACCCGTACCCCTGTATGTTACCCGTACCCCTGTATGTTACCCGTACCCCTGTATGTTACCCGTACCCCTGTATATTACCCGTACCCCTGTATGTATATTACCTGTACCCCTGTATATTACCTGTACCCCTGTATATTACCTGTACCCCTGTATGTTACCCGTACCCCTGTATGTTACACTTACCCCTGTATGTTACCCGTACCCCTGTATATTACCTATACCCCTGTATGTATGTTACCTGTACCCCTGTATGTTACCTGTACCCCTGTATGTTACCTGTACCCCTGTATGTTACCTGTACCCCTGTATGTTACGGTCCCTTAAGAAATCGTCCAAAAGTTTCTTGAACAATTCCACACTCTTTGCTGAGATCGGCGCCTGTGGCAGTGAGTTCCAGACCCTAACCGCTCTAACTGTGAAGAACCCCCTTCGCCCCTTGTGCTGGAATTTATTTTCCACCAGCTTTAGGTGGTGTCCTCTAGTCTTTGTAACGGAGTTAATTTTAAATAGTTTATCGCTAATGTTGCTCCCACCATTGAACATCTTGTACATGGAGATCATATCCCCCCTTAATCTCCTCACCTCCAATGTGAACATGTTTTAAATTTAGTAGCCTTGTCTCGTAGCTCCGGTCCTCCATACCCCTAATTAGTTTGGTTGCCCTCCGCTGGACTCTTTCCAACTCAAGGACATCTTTTCTTAGTACTGATGACCAGAACTGGACCTCGTGGTCTTAGCCTGCAGCCAACCGTAACAAAATCTTACTACACAAGAAGTCCCGCTAATACAACCAGAGGTTAGGCCCTCCCCAGATTGTGCAGGGACACGTAGACTTCCACGATGGGTTAACATTTCCAGTGTAGACAGTACCAGTTCCATATGATGTTGAGTTCAAAGGTTAAAGGCAGGGCGGTCTTTATTACCTGAGCAAACATTTTCATGGGGCC